AGTATCATAAGTCATAACCCCTTCAGTCCAGAGTTGTTTTAACTCATTAATTAGCGGTTCTAAAAACACATATATGTCATTGCCTAGTGCATGCTTGCCTGGTATCAATAATGAAAGTATCATATACGGTTGTTTCATGCAAAGCCAATGTGATAAGTTGTAAGGCGTTAATACCACAGGCCATGTAGACCAACCAGAACTCATTATCCCAAATGGATTGAATCCGTCGCTAGACAAACCTAGTTTAACATTCCTGCACTCATTCGTAAACCAAGGAAAAGTTCTATCCATATGCTTCCACGCCTCTGCATCAGCCGGATGTCTGATTTTACCATCATCAGTACGTTCTTTCATGTGCCACCTCATTTGCTTAGCAGTGTCTTTATTCATATACAACCGTTTTAGCCTTGGTATTAAGAGAAAATGACGCGGGACCTTTGCTGGAATCTTCTTTTGCTTAAGCATAGACCTTGTTATCCCATGTGTTGAATAATTTTTGTGTTGTACCCACCGTGATACTACACAAATTGGACACTCCTGAAGATCTTTGTTATCCTTATAGTAGAGAATACAATCATTAGGGCATGCGTCGATTTTATTGTAATCAAGTCCTATAACGGAAACAATCTTCTTTGCGTTATCATAATTTTCTGGTATGCTATCTTTTCCATTTGGAATGAATTTTCTCAGCAACACAAGCAACATATTAAAATATTTATCCGCCATTCCGCTAAGAGACTTTATACGTAAAAGACGCAGCATAAATGATAACCTGGTGAACTCGGTACAACCCTCATACAGATCATTTTCATTGTCGTTAATTAATTTCATTATCTGCGCTAGCTCCTCATGATCAGTCACACCTCCAGCATTTCCTGACTCGTCAGCATCCTCGGCATCTTCAGATTGATCTATATTAGGAACTGTTAACATATCCGCGAGCATCGTATGTGTATCATCTATTCTCGTGTCATCTATTCTCCCACCGGACGTACCGGTATCCGCCATCAGTTCTATTTCTTCAAGGCATCCTTCCCCATGAAACTCCAATATTTGTACTCCTCATGAAATTCAGATATTAAGTGTTTTTGTAAATCACTTTTATCCACTAACGCCCTATTTTTACACCAACAGCAGGGACAATACACGACATCACTATTTAACTTCTGTGGGTCTGCCAACGCGTATTGTATGAATTGATTTATTCCATCTTTATATCGACTATCCCTCCATCTATCAATACGAGGAATATCGATCCATGATTTGTCGGGAACTATCCTCATCTGTATGATATTAAGCATAATTAGGTAATGTGAATTTTTATTAGTAACGCATCAAATTAACGGTTGCGTGATATTAACTTTCTTCACGACATCAAGGAAATTCAAACTATAATAATCTCGGAGGAAAAATTACCAGAACATAAATTATGTGGGAGTAAAATCTAACGCTCATATTTTCAATAAGAGACTTTAACGGCTGTCATAGGAAATGAACCTATCCCATTAGGAATATAGTAGTGTCTACAACTACCTTCATCATCTTTATGCGTTTTTATTTCTTAAAAATTTCGACAACACCTACCGGCTGTTCTCCGAGTACACTGTGCGGATGTTATAATACGTATCAATCATCGATAATAGATCGATTATAGATCAAACGCAAAACAATATACGCTTATTGTACACGGAGAACAATGCGGTACGTGTTATCAAAATTTTGTAGGAATAAAAATGCGTAAAGTATACAAAGATAGACGATACACTACTGTATTCCTAACCTGTACGAGAAGGGGAATCCTCCCTGGACAGATCTAATAATTATTGCATGTAGAGCATACTCCTAACATAAATCACGTTATTCTCTTTAGATGTAAAAAGTATTTTCACATTCAACTAGAATTGCGTGAGTTTATATCAGAAGAGACTCACATCCAATAATATTAGACAGGAAACTAGGGGTAACGACTTCTGATTCATAAAATCATGATATATAACACAATACAAACTCGATATATCTAACTAATTAAAATTTTTAGTTAAGATAAAGGCTAAATATCAGTAAATCCCATTAACTTTAGGACTATTATCAGATAACCCCCCTTAATTTTCAAAATATCAGAAAACCCCCATTATTTTGATCTTCATATTAGGAAAGATAATTAAACTTCTTCATATTAGGAAAGATAATTAAACTTAGTCATCCACATTAAAGCCCATCAAAATCCAATTTTGAACTGAAGAATCAAAAAAGGACAAGAAATTATCGCTTAGATCTCTTGCACTGCAATCCAAGAAAACGTAAGACCCGCTTGGATCTCCTACACTGCAATTGCAAGAAATCAAATATCAGATCAAAAACAACAACAAAACCTAAAATTACAACAAAATAATTTAAAAACACCACTGACAGAGAGGTTTCTGCGCCCTATTATCACATGAATATCAAAAACTTTGGAAGATTAGGACCATTACTAAGAGTGCACTAGCTTGTGATGGAAGTATCCGTATTGCTAAGGCTAATACCATAAACCCTCCTTTAACTTTAGACAATTATCAAGAAACCCCCCTTATATTTCAAAATATAAGAAAACCTCCTTAAGTTTAAGTGTTATTGGAAAACCCTCCTTTAACTTTGAGATTTTTTCAAAACGCACAGCTCAACTTGTACCCACCTTTTCTAAATTAACTTTAAGCACTTCAAGTCCACTGAACTTTTCTATTCTCATTCTCAGAGACAAATGACCAAGCAAAGCAATATAACTCAACGTCTACCAATTCAAGTCTACTCGCATTATGGGATGCATCGACTCACAATGCCGATATGGTTGTGGCTCAAAATGGGTCGGGAAATTACAGGACCATCAACGAGGCGGTCCAAGCACTGCATCGCGAGCACAATGGAGACAGAAGAGCTATTGTCTATGTGAAATCAGGGGTTTACGAGGAGTACGTGGAGATAGCTAGAAACTTGAGGAATGTGATGTTCGTTGGTGATGGCATTGATAAGACTATAGTAACGGGCAATCACAATGTTCCTGATGGTTACACGACCTACAGATCGGCCACCTTCGGTATGATTCTGAGCTACGCATTGCATAAAACCCCGCAGTAAATTTAGAGATAAATCATAAAAAGTTTGAAACTGCAGATTCCCCCCCCCCCCCAAAAGAACTTTTGTAGGGTTCTAAATCCATTTCCTAGCTCATCTAAAACATCTTCGGGGATTAAGTCATACTTAGTACCCCTGTAGTTTTATTGTTACAGATAGACCCCTGGATTATTGTTATTATTAATTATTGGCTATTTTAATAATTTACAACAATACCTAAAATTACATCAAAGAAATTTACAAAAATCCCTAAAAATTTACAATAATACCTAAAATACCTAAAAATTTACAAAAAATTACAACAAAAATACCTAAAATTTTACAACAATACCTAAAATTACAAAAAATTTACAACAATACCCAAAAATTTACAACAATACCCAAAAATTTACAACAATACCTCTCTGCGAGTTCAGCGGGGGCGGTGCCGCGGCAAGCTCCGGCGAGAGATCGGGGGTTCGGGGTTCCGGGCGTCGAAGCACGTGCGGTGGAGTCGGAGAGGAGGAGCGGGAGGTGACGGAGTTCGCGATCTAGGGCAGCCGCGAGGGGTAATGGCGACGGCGTCCGGCGGTGAAGTGGGAGTCGAGGGCGGCGAGTCAGAGCTGCCAGAAGGTCGTCGAGGGCGGCGGCGCTGACGGAAATTAGGGTTTTTTAATTTGGGAACGAAAGCCTGATCGTGATCGGTTGAAATATATATCAAACATCGCTGACGAGATTCCCGTCAGCGATGTTTATTTCCCGTCGGCAATAATAACATCGCCGACGGGTATAACTCAACTGTGACGGCAACTTCGCTGACGGGAATCCCCGTCAGCGATATAAACATCGCTGACGGGAATCTCCCGTCAGCGTTGTTGCTGTCAGCGATACTGACTTTTCCACTAGTGAATAAATATAGCCATATCGAGATGCATCATCCGTGAATGTTATAAAATATGAATATCCAACTCTTGCTTTAACATTTAAAGGACCACATATATCAGAATGTATAATGTCAAGAGTACCTTCCGTTCTAGCACGTTTTTCTGAAAATGGTAATTTAGTCATCTTACCTATTAGGCAATGTTCACAAGTTGGAAAATTTTCTACTTTTAGAAAATCTAGAGGATCATCCTTTACCAACCTATTGATCTGATCAATATTAACATGACCCGGCCTTGTGTACCAAAGATAAGTTGGATTACTTTGATCAAACTTACGTTTAAGAGATTTATCAACTTCAATAACATTTGCATAAGAATTAAGGCAGTTGATATATAATATATGTTATTTTCAACTTCACAATGAGCAATAATAGAATTTTCAAACTTTATAGTAAATGTATCACCAAATAAAATAGAATATCCATTTTTACAAAGTTTAGAAACAGAAATCAAATTTCTCCTAAAGGATGGCATGTAATGATAATCTTTTAGTTTCATTGCATGCCCTTTATTCAAATGCAAAAAATAAGTTCCTATAGATAATATCGAAACCAAGGCTTCAGCCCCTGCTGTTAAGGTGATCTCTCCATCTTCAAGCTTTCGCCTTTCCTTGTACCCCTGCAAAGAATTGTAAATATGCGAAGATGGTCCAGAATCCACACACCATATATAAGAAGAATAACTCACTACATTAGTCTCTACTAAGTAATGAGATGATATACCTTCAGAAGATTTATCCTTCTTCAATGATGCAAGGTAACATTTACAATTCCCTTTCCAGTGCCCCTTCTTGTTACAAAAGAAGCATTCATCACCAATCTGATCCATCTTCCCTTTCTTGGAAACTTTCTTTCCTTTTGTTGGTTTTTTCTTATAAGAAAACTTTATTTTCTTATAGTTAGACGGTCTAGCAGTTTCTGTAACCATCATTATGGATTTACCTTGCTTCATAATATCCTCAACCCTCTACAACATATTGCTCAGTTCTGGCAAAGTGAAATTTGGTTCTTGAATACTAAAATTCACTTTGAACTGATTAAAGGATCGAGGAAGTGAAACAAGAATTGCATCAACTTTTGATTCATTATCCAGCTCGACTCCTAAGGATTCTAATTCATTTATATACCATATCATCTTATGAATGTGAGCCTGAACTGGTGTACCTTCAGCCATCTTGGTGTTCATCAAACCGTTCATAGTGTTTTGATGTACAGTATGATTACGTTCTTCGTACAAAGCCTTAAGGCTTTTCAATATCTCCTTACAAGTCTTCTTTCCTTCATGCTGCTTTTGTAAAGTATGGTCTAAGAAAACCATAATATAGCACTTTGCAAGTTTATTATGTTCAACCTATTCATCATGATTAAGAATCTCATATTCCATTGCATTAGTACCAGGTTCAACAGGTTCATCCTCTTTGACAAATTTTGCTAATTTTTCAGTAGTAAGGACAATAAACAAATTTCTTTTCCAATCCACATAATTCGGGTCAGTCAGTTTATAATCATCAAGTAGCTTAGCAAAAGGACTAAACTTAGTCATCCTACACAAGCAAAATATAACAACATAATAATCTCAATTTTATTATTGCGCAATCATTACTAGGGATAATTTAAGTAATGAAATTCACATTAATATGTTTCTCTCATACAAAAAATGTGAACAAGAAATCCAAGCTTTAAACCTCCAGATTTTCAAGATCGAATATAATTAAACAAGGTAGAATCAGTCCATTCAATCATTAACAATTAATGAATTTCCTTTAATTTTGGTCTTTGATGTATAACATGACTCTACTATTTTAGTAAGCATACCAAGACATCAATGAAGTGTTTATCCATCAATCCAGCTATCTTATATAAAACAATAGCACTACCTATTTTAGTCTAGTGGTCCCATTGTACATAAAATACTTGCCATCCTTATGTGAGATATAACTAGATAATAAATTCTAACAAACTCTATCCTTTGTTGCATCAGATAAGCTAAAATATTATTATCCAAGTTATATTTTTATGATAGAAGACCTTTAGATTTATATTTCTTAAATATTAATCTATCTACACTTCTATACATTTTTTTGTTATTTATTACTAATTGAGAGAACATGAGAGAAAATAACAACAGTCAATTTTTAATAAATTCTAAACTGTTTTATTTAATAGAAGAAATTTAGAAAAATTCTGGACCTATTAGTAATTTTCTATGTATTACTATAATCTCATGAAAAATTAAAATTAAACAATTAAAAAAACAATACAACCATGTCACATGTATAATTTAAAAAGTGTTTTAAAAAAATACAATGACACATTATCAATCAATAAGAGTTAAATAATATTTTCAACACAAGAAAATAAATGTTACATGTATATAGTCTTCAGAACAAATTTTGTAACTGTTAAGGGTTAATTAGAAAATAACCATTACTTTCATACAGGCTACAGAATAGATTCTGGTTTAAACAGGGGTTGAAACTAATTTTACAGGAAAACATCAACACTGGTGGACTTCAGAACAGTTTCTGGGTCAAACAGGGGTCTGATAATAATTTTACAGTAAAATTTAAATTATCATGGTTTCGGATTTGGGTTATGTTTGCAGGTCAGACTCGTTTCATTAATTTTAAATCTGATTTAAAAATGGGTTGGGTTTAGATTCGGGTTCGGGTCAAACTCATTTAATTTAAACTTAATTCTTAGTGGGTTTGGATTCATAACCCGTTAAGAAAAATAACCCAAGACTTCATCTTCTTCAACTAGGTTTAGGGTTTGGCTAGGGTTTGTGGGATGCGGAGTCCGGTATCCATCCGATGGACACCGCGGGATCAAGAACCCATATAATTCAACAATTGAAAAAAGAACAATACAAAAACTCTAACTAAATTTCTTTAATCTAATCATAAACTTCAACCCATGAACAATAGCTGAATCTCAAAAATAATTAATTTCAGTTTAACAAATTAAACTAAACAATAATTCGGTGGGGAACAGTAACATCATCAGTGAACAGTAACTTCATCGGTGAGCAGTGGCTCCGGCGGTAAACGTACAATACCCACTTTTTTGATGAAAATCGTTCGTAAACAGTAACTGAACCCTACTATTGATTTTAATCAAAATTTTAATTTAATCCAATTAAATAATCTAAAAATAAAGATCAAATCAAGTCAAATTATTACAGATTGGATTCTAAACCCGCTCTGATACCATCTGTTGGAAACATAAGATACAACACAGTGAAAATTGCATATAATGTAGATTAATCAAAATTAATTAAAATATAGAAGAATACCTGAAACGCTTTCCGAATTTCTTCAATAATATGTCCCAAGATCAATACGAAATAGCCTGCTTAAGAGAAAAAGCATCCAACTAAAATCCACCCATCACCGAAGAGGAGCAATACTAAGAGATACGTTCTCAAAATGTATTTCTTTTTTTTTCCTTTTTTCTTCTTCTTCCTCCATAAGGCTACATATGAATCCTATATATAGGATTGGACCTGTCGTATAGATTCAATTTCACAATAATTCATAATTGTTTAAAACTCTATCCATAACATATAAAGATAGAATATTCTTTTCATAACAATTAGGATAGAAATAGAATTGTATTGCATGTAAATATCTTCTAATGACATTAGTGTGACCAATTGGATCCCATATTGAGAACCAATTATTAATCAAATTAATAATTTTAATTTAACAATCAAATCTCTATCCTACCAACTGTGCATAAAAGCTCTTCCATAATATGAGATTAAATATTCATGAATAATATTATCTTACATTCAGTCCCCTCCAGTATCAATTTATTTTAGGCAACTTTATTGAGCAGGACAAATCACCTATTTGCTCATTCCTAAAATTACAATCTCATGAACATAAATAAAAGTCATTTTGAAATATCAAAATATTTTATTTTATAAGAAAATAAATTTAGAAAAATAAATTTCAAAAATCACCCGTCGACGGGAATTTAATACCTTCATGGGATATGCATTACAAATTAACTCATAAAAATAAGTATATTAGATCCTATCTAGATATCCATCATTTTCCTAAATAAAATCTAATAACCCAACATTTCAGGTTGCATAGCACTTGTAAAACAAGCTTAACCATCATATAAAAGTATACTAAATTATCAAATCGAAAATGATAATATCATCAAGTCTAAAGGACCACGTAACAATTCGAATTCTATATCTCTAATTAGGTGACTCGTCCTAGAGAATCCAAATAAGGTATTCTGCTACACATATCAAATATGCGCTTATGACATACACCCGGGGAATCTTCATTCCCGATAGCTGAGATCAACCATCACATCTCTTATGTCGTTGTCATGCATAATAACCTGTTATAACAAAGCTATCATTTACTAGTTATAGGTTAAGCACAAATTTAAGAAACCTCTGAATTAGATCATATCTCCAATCAAGTGACCATCAAAGTGCATGATCTAACAAAATAATTTCTAAAGATAATATAACAATTATATAAAAAATACTCAAACAACATGTGCAACAATAAAACTTGTATTATCATGTCAACTTACTTTTTTCTAGCTTCAATAAGTTATTTGCAAACAAACACTAATAAACGCAATCGCACACGGGATTCAATAGAAGCGAAGCACGAACCAATTTGCTCCGATACAAATCATACGACTTTTACGCTATCTGCAACATTCTCATAATGCATCGAGGGACATGAGACGTAATTAACTGAGCTGATACCCTAAAAACACAAAACATAGATTGAAACTGCAAACATTTATACAAACCACCCTTCATTCTAAAAGATGACACACATAACTAAAACCCTTATGTAGAAGCTATAAATAGGGATACGAGATATAAATATATAAGATATCCGTGCACAGAGAACAAGTTTCAGGTATTTTTCATGCTCTGAAAAATCAGTAACTGATATTATAGATATACATCGCTCGTTAGACAAAAAACATGACAGGGGATGGGATATAATGAAACAAGTAGGCTAATGCCTCCAAAATCTTTCCTTTCAAAATGATGTCACTTGAATATACATGAAGGACTGGTAACAAGCATGGCAGATGAAAGGGCATGAATTTTTCTGCAATTGCTTTTTCAAAAAATGAAGCAGCTCTTCTGTCCATTAATTGTTCTTTTCCTTCTTATTTTTCTCCCGTGGCTGGAAAACTTTCTCGCGAGAGTAGCATCGAACATTGCATTCACATTCTACACACCGGAATAGGTTCAATTATGCTTGAAATATACTTCATAGAAGAGAATACGATTTAAATGAAGTTTTTTACAGGGAAAAACTTACTTGCTAGTTTTTGAGTTGCACTCAATGTAGGCTAGAGCAACTTTTGTTTTATCAAATACTTCCTCTTTTCTATAGATATAGAGATATAGATGTATCTAATGCGTCCTCTCCCCTATAAGTATGTCATAAATATTAGACGCCTTAACTTGCTAAACATTGTATAAGATTTGTCTAAACATAGATGCATCGAATAAAAGCACCTCCATCTCTACAATTTTCAAGATATAAAAAATTTTATCAATAACACAAATGCATCTAATAGTTCCCGCCCCCTATAAATATCAAAGATATGTTCGGTGCGTCAACTTTTAAATTTAGCATAAGGTTCACCCGAGTTCGTCTAATAGTTCCTCTTACTATGTCATAGATTCCTTAGATTATTTAATTTCTAAAAATTGCAATTGGTTCATCCAAGCGCATAGATACAGAACACTGTTAAAACAGCAACCCTCTATCCCATAAATATATTCAATGTCGACAAGATGAACCGAGCTTATAACAGGAAGGCAGTAAACAATTGATAACATGACTACCAAGTGCAACCGCACAAGGGATTCAATAGCAGCAAAGCATGAGAAAATTTGCTCTATACATATCACAAGACATTTGCATCTTCAACATCATCATAAGCATCGAGGGACATTAGGCATAATTAACTGAACTGAGGTTAAAGTATCATATACATAAACAAGAAACAGAGATTGAAGTTTCAAACATTCATACAACCACCCTAAACAAAACAGATGCCAACATAGCTAAACCCTTCTTTAGAAGCTGTAAATTGGGTACAATATAGGAATATAAGATATCCAAGTTTCCAGGTGTTTTTCATGTTCAGAAAGATCGGTTACAGATATTATCGACGTAATCACTTAGTAGACACAAGACAAGACAAGATGGAACATGAAGAAACAGGTACCCTACTGCTTCCCGTATCTTTCCTTCCAAACTGATGTCAGTTGAGTATACACCTAGGACTTGTAGCAAGCATGGCTTGATGAAAGGGCATGAATTTTTCTGCTATTGCTTTTTCACAATATGGAGCAGCTCTTCTGTGCCTTGTTCTTTTTCTTCTTCTTTTGCTTTGGTGGCTGGAGAACTACCTTGATAGCAGCATCGAACACTGCCTTAACATTCTATAAACCAAGATATGTCCAGTTACGCTTGATATCACTTTCATGAAAGAGAATACAATTGAAACAAAAAATTTTACAGAACAAAACTTACTTGCTGGGTTTTGGAGCTGCACTCAATGTAGGCCAAAGCACCTATTTGCTTCATCAATTCTTCCCCCTTTTTATCAATATCAGAATTTATCAATATCAGAATTAACATTATTACTGACATCTAACGGTGGAAATGGTAGGAGGCAGATGTCTGTAGTTACTTACCTGTGCTGTTGTAATGGGGACAGCACCTGGGTGATCAACAAAGAACTGCTTGTCATCTCGGAGATCTGAAAAGCAAAAACAGGTAGGTGAATAATAACATAAGAAGAAGAATCAATAACAAGAAACCAAAATGATGAGATCTTTCCTGAACAATGTAAATATAACTTATATCCATAGTGTAAAAGCTTCAGATAAGGAATGCAACCTCAGGAGGTTTCTCAAAAAGAAATTGATAATAAGGCCTCATGTTGGCAGTTGATACATGAACATTATTGGAATCAGGAGAAGAATCAAATGCTCTCAGCATAAAGAGGAAACAAAAGAATGGAAAAAATCTCTAAGGATGGAATTAAACAAAACCATGATTAGTATAAACATCCTAGAACAAGAAAGAACTACTACTATCACACCAATATAGCTCTGAGAAAACAACGGTTTCCTCAAATCATCTAAGTGCATATTTGAATTGCCGCTATTGAGGCTATCATGCTAACTACTGATTTATAAAAAAGAAAGATTCTAATTTAGATCGATTGTCAAATATTAGTGAAACGGATACTCCCTTTAGTGAAACAATTATCCTCTTACTAATATTCCTACGTTAAATTCATCATAGGATCTAACAACTAACCATGAATCACGATTATGCTGCATTTTCAAAATCCTATGTCAATGTTACTATGTTAAATTTCTCATTCAGCAAAGCCGAGTAGTAGCAGATTAACATATCTTTCATAAGGTGCATGCTGTGGCAGACCATATGGACACTATACCACAGCAGTAGACATATCTATCTCTAACATCATATCATCAAAATGGGAATCATATACGGCATCACATACTATAGTGGTTGGAGCTAAATTGGGCACAGCCAGAAATTCATAGGCTCAACAAAAAAAAAGAAAGGTCTGGGCGTGTCTAACCACTTAGGCACGCCACCCGTCAAAATATCAAAATACCTGAAGTCAACCTAACAAACTTTTACTTACACAAGCCAGATCTTTCTACCTTCTAAATTTTGAAGCTCTTTTTCCAATGCATTATATACATATTGCTTTTTGGTCATATTTCATAATGAAAAAAAGTATGACCAGTGGCACATAGCTCTAAGAGATGAATCAGTCATAGAAAAACTGAGAAATGCCAATTATTCTTTCAAATCTTTGATAAATTGGTCCTGGAATGAAATTTCTTCACACAGCATTATCGATGGCTGGGTGCCACATCTTTCAAGATGTGGCTAGTAATAATCCTGTATATATGTCATATTCTTGTCTTGCCTACAAGTCCATGATACTATCACAAGGGAGAACAGTAACTAGAAGCCAATTATGAAAATATAAAACAAAGAAATTTCCAGCAATTGTATGTGATATCTAAGAAATTCTAAGCATCTTTGCTCGATTATAGAACAAGCAACATTGGTCAAAAGGCAGAATGGAGTATATTTCATAAAGAACATAACAGTTAAAAGATGCATAATATGTAAGCAGCTATGGACATTATCGCCAAATCTATATGATGTAAGCCATTTTTCATCTAAGCAAGGTTTTTAAATTAAGCAGAGGGTTCTCTGACAGGTGAAGAGAAGTACATAAATCATTCAATTCTGATCCTGATAAGCAAACATTTTGAACATCGAATTCCACAATCAAAAATATATAACTCGTAACAGGTCAAGTATGCTCTTCTTCTAACTTCTAGTTATTTTATAAAGAGCATATTATGCAATCTTTCAAGTTTGTCCTTGCTCTAAATAGGTGAAAAGATGCGGCAGTAGATTGTTGAAATTATTGACTAACTAAATTCTCTTACAATATCACATATATGACCAGATAAGCTTTGAGAATTAACTGGAGTGAAGGTGCAAGTCATACATACAGGTGAAGAGAAGTACACAAATCATTCAATTCTGATCCTGATAAGCAAACATTTGAACATCGAATTCCACAATCAAAAACATATAACTCGTAACAGGTCAAGTATGCTCTTCTTCTAACTTCTAGTTATTTTATAAAGGGCATATTATGCAATCTTTCAAGTTTGTCCTTGCTCTAAATAGGTGAAAAGATGCGGCAGTAGATTGTTGAAATTATTTGACTAACTAAATTCTCTTACAATATCACATATATGACCAGATAAACTTTGAGAATTAACTGGAGTGAAGGTGCAAGTCATACATAAAGGATTCGAGAGCTCTAAGAACGTTGAACTAGAAAGTAAATCACATAACTGATTAAATGTTTTTACACTGAGGAATATAAATGGCATCCTGCACATGATAAGGCTTACTGATAACAATAAAAGAAATCTTAGAACTTCAATTGACCAAAATCCATTATGTTCTAAATTAAAATGCAGCTAGATAAACGAAAAAGATCAAGAACGCTAAGAATATCCAGTAGCAAGCAATCAGTCCAGAGATAGAACACTGAGTGCATGTCCATGGCATGAAAAACATTGCAATCAATTTGGCAATGAAATCATTGTAGCAAAACAACACAGAGAAATGAGAAAACACAAGTAACAACCAAAAGAGGAAGTTACCGAGCTTTGTCCCAACAAGGACTATCGGAACACCTGGAGCATAGTGCCTTAGTTCAGGAATCCACTGGAAAACCAAAGTGTAAGCAACATAATATCAGCTATATTGAAACACAGCGATAACAAGGTTTCAAAAAACACAGACACTGTCTTCACCTTCTTTGAAACATTTTCATAGCTGGCCTTGCTGATAAGAGAGAAGGCGAGGAGAAAAACATCAGCCCCGCGATAGCTCAAGGGTCTTAATCTATTGTAATCCTCTTGGCCTGTTCCAATAAAAGCACAAGATTAGAAGTGTAAACAAAAAGAAAGGGAGGGAGTAAAACTGAACTACAAAGATGAGTTATTTACCTGCTGTATCCCACAAACCCAGGTTAACAGTGTTACCATCTACCACCACATTTGCACTGAAATTGTCAAATACAGTTGGAACATAATCCTGCACCCCAAAAATATTAAACATCATGCTTCCTTAATGATTCCGTTGTAAAGGAAAGAGCAAACCTCAATCTAATTTTGAACCCCTTAATTTCTTTCATTTCCTTCACTTCCCTAACATCAAAAAGTATAAACACTATAAAAAATACAAAGATAAAATAGAGGCTGTTTAATATCGAAATCCTAGTTGATTAATAGATTTGAAACCTAAAAAACTACATTTCAACTCTATCATGTTAAATTTTGGAGACAACATCAGCTCAGATGCCAGTCTATTCGTGAAATTAATCTCACCAAACAAAATCAAAAGAGAAATTCCCAGCTAATTGGGGCTATTAAACAATGCAAGAGTCAAGACCCCCCCAATTTCCCCAAACAAAAAGCCCTAACAACACAAAACCTTAAAAAAGAACAATCTTTCCCCTTCCAACACGCATTAAATTGGGGGGGAACCCCGTAAAAATGCGAAAAAAATTAGGGGGAAAAAAGACGAATTCAAAATGAAAGCTCACGGTAGGGTGAAAGTGTTGCTGGTGTAGGAAATGAGCATGCAGGTCTTGCCGACGGCGCCGTCGCCACCGTCACGCACTTTATAAACCTCGACGCGCTCAATCTCCGCCCTCCTCCCCCTTTTTCGCAAAAAAAAACCCTCCTCTTTCCCTCCTTTTACAGCCCCAACCCCGAAATTCTCAAAAAAAGAACCGCTCTTTTCCTCCCAAATTCGCAATAGCAATAGCCAGCCTCAAAAATTGAAGATCTGTGTTTTTTTTTTTTTTTTTCCTTTCCTTCTCAAGAAAGGAGAATAAAGTTGGAGAGAGGCGAGGGGTGCGGTGGAAGCGGTCGCTGCCTCCTCTAGCCCATCGTTGTTGGGAGTTTATTTATATATAAACGTTTACTTAATAATTAATTAATTATTCTCGCAATAAATGATTATTAGATTTTTTTTTTAAGAAAAAGATGGAAATGAGTGAAAAGTAAATGTGAAGACAGCTAAGGTCTTTTTGTGCGTTAGTTCCCTCCACCTAACAAAAAAGGCATCCACCAAATTCCATTTTAGCGTCGGAGGTGTAAATTATTTAATAATGGGGTTAAAGGTGCATGTATATGTATGTAGTGATAGGCTAAATTTCAGAAATAACCCCACAACTTGGGACAATTACAAAAGGGCCCGAAATAACTTTCAAATGTCAAAAAAATTTGCGCTTTTAAGTTTAGAGGTTATTAAAAAATCACGCTTCAACTTTCGATATTTTTCAAAAATCTCCCTAAAAGTGTGGGCCATAATTTTCAGTGGCAAACCGCTTGCATAATCTTATCTGAAAAATTCCTTAAGGACCCAAAATATGAGACCAATAGGGGGGACAAGTGTGGTGTCCCCCTCCTATTGGATAATGAGTTGGTCATCATTAATGATGGCCAACTCATTATCCAATAGGAGGGGGACACCTCACTTGTCCCACCTATTGGTCCCATATTTTTTGGTCCCTGTAGCAAAGCTCAGAATTTTCTGATAAACCTAAACCTGAAGGGGAGATTTCTGATACTTTGAAAGTTGTGGGAGGGCAGTCTGATAATCGCCTAGAGTTAAAAGAGGAGGTTTTTTTTTTTGCTGAAAATTAGCCATAATAATCACAGAATGCTTAAAGGAGATGCAATACAATTTTAGGTGTGTAAAATAATAAGCTTTCCTCAAACCTCTTCAGTTGTCGCCTGCTTTATTGCCGAAGATCAAAAGCTCACGTTAGAGCATCTCCAACAGCTTCCCCAAAATTTTCTCCAAAATGGAGAAACAAAAGTCATATTCTTCAAATTATTTTTGCTCCAACTCCAACAGCTTTCCCATTTTAAAAAATCGTATTTATTACAATAATAAAGCTCTCCCCAAAAATTTGGAGAATGCTGCAGATTTGGGGAAGGCTCCCTATTTTTTCTCCTCCTTCCCTATTTTGGGGAATGGGATGAGGAATCTGTTGGACCAAAAAAAAACTCTATATTCTCCAAATTTGAGTATTTCAAGAAGATGGGGAAGTTGTTGGAGATGCTCTTAGCTATCATCCAAATGCAATTTGTTGTTGTATGTAATCCATTTGTCTAGGAGGAAGTCATCTAAATATTAGATACATGTTTAAGAGGATTCTTTAGATTAGATGCCCTTAAACCTGTTGTCTTGATAATCCTTTACAAAGTACTGTATATTATTATATATATATATAATATTGGTTGTCTTATGATCGAGTTAATTTTTGTAGTGTACGGTCAAAATATTTAAGTAACTACCAATCTACTATATCCATACGGATACATATACGTTATTTTTTGAACTTTTTGGATCTGTATGCTCGTTGTGATAGAAATTAGCTTAGGACAAGTCCAGTATGTACATTTAAAATACTCAAAACTAGCTATGACAGTCATAATATTTTTTCAATTACATATCATCTATTATGTGCTTCTTCATCATATACCAGTCAATTATCAGAGAAAATACTGTTAATATTATCCCCATCGTGCATACAGAGTCCCAATTGAAAAGTAGAATACTGTTAATCTACTCCTCTATACAAATAGGAGAATCCAAGATGCACTATTCTTACTACAGTAAATACTACGGTGATATTATTGTGGTATTATTACCGCAGCAAACAAGAAACTGGATCAGATAGTTTTTGGAAAAAATTATACAGTAGCACATAGGAACACTGTAGTAGATGCGGGATATTAAAAAAATCAAAAATTACTGTAGCAGTTAAATGGGGATTACTGTGGTGGGAAAAAAAATACAGTGTTCACACTAGTTAACAGAATTATATTTTGGTCATCTTATTTTTCTAATTAAAGATAAACCGAGGCATGTCTTAAACAAGAATTAAGCCAACCGCAAGCACTTAAAATAGCAAAATTCTTTTGTGTCAACTTTCTTCCCTCGTAATCTGTTATGACCCTGCAAACAAAATTGTACTACTGTAGAAACATAAGTAGATTGGATGCGATGGATGTGAACTTTAATTTGCATCTTAATCCGGCCCAGCCCAGCCTAAATCAGCCCGTCCTTTTCCGCATGGTAACGGTTGTTTAGTGCCGGGGGCCACACGGCTCCTATTTATGGGGGCACTTACTCCATATATATCTTATTAATTTGCTGCGCTCTATCTATTTCATGCAAAAATGTATTAATATTAATTAGTGCCTTGAGTCCTATATACGAGTGCTTGGAAAACAGTTGAATTAGAAGAAGCTTGATCATACTCCTCTTCTTTGCCATTTTTTATAGATTACTCGCTTTAATATCCATTAAGGGATACTATATATGGAACAAGAATCTTAAAACATTTTATACTTGTTCTCTGGTATCAGTCTCACCATATATGTGTAGTTAACTCTGAAGGCATAAACACTGTGGAGTTATTGCCATCCTTCAGATTTCTACATTATCACTCTTATTATGATTATTCTGTCGTATTCTCTTTACACTAGTGTACATTCTGTGCAAATCATGGCCCCCTATTTTTTTAAGCACTGTATTTTAAACTTGCCTCCATCTATGTAGGTGTGTCCATCCGGGTCGGCTCGATCCGGAAAAGACAAAAAAAATTAATAAAAAATAATAATTTTATTAATCACTTAAAATGACATAAATTATAAATAAAAAATTATAACAAATTATTATGTAACTATATATTATATATACATATATTATATATAAATATATTGTATATATTTATAAGTTATAACTTGAGAGAGAGAGAATCGCATAAGTAACTGTTGCCCGTTGGGCCAATGGGGAAGAACTGAAGAAGTAGTCGTTGTAATATACTATACTTATATATACTTATATACTAAGAGAGAGTATACACACATACACACATATTATACATATATAAGATAGAGTATACTTATTTAAGAGGGAGTATACATATATAAGAGAGAGTATACTTATATATACATATATACTAAGAGAGAGAGTATATATATACATACATCATTATACATATATATGAGAGAGTATTCTTATATGTACTTATATAAGAGAAAGTATACTTATATATACTTATACATATATATATATACTTATATACTAAGAGAGAGTATATATATACACACATATGACATATTATACATATATAGAAATATATTATATAAGAGAGAGTATACATATATAAGAGAGAGTATACTTATATATACATATATACTAAGAGAGAGTATATATATACATACATGCATACATTATACATATATAAGAGAGAGTATTCTTATATATACTTATATAAGAGAAAGTATACTTATATATACTTATACATATATATACTTATATAAGAGAGAGAGTATACTTATATATACTTATATACTAAGAGAGAGTATATATATACACACATATGACATATTATACATATATAGAAATATATTATATATACATATATTATACATATTATATATATTTATATATACATATATTATACATATATAATACATATAAAAATATAAAAATAAAAGAAAACCACTATTCCGGGCCGGGCCGGGCCGGTGGGCTTTTTGGACACCCCTACATCTATGTTTTAATACATTTGATTTAATTATTGTATGCTTAAAATTAGAAATCATACATGTTCCACTATACTTAAAAAATGATCCAGATTTTAATTCATTTGATTTAGAAATTATATCTCTCTTCTATATTTAAAGAAGGATCAAAGTTTTAATATATTTGATTTGTTTCACTATTTAAGATACAACAACAATATTGTAGCATGAATAATAACTTCTAGTATGGATGAGCAAATTTGATTTATTGTTTGCACTATATATAGTAAATCACTGTAGCATAAATAGCAACTTCAAGTGCAGAGAGCCAGGTAAAATTAAATGTCGATGCTACAGTATTTGATGTAGCATGGATAATAATCCTATGTATAGAGGAGTAGATGTCATATTTCCAGCTTAGCATTGTCTGACCTCTTAAACTGCTTTCAATTTTTGGATTATTTGGAGGAGTTTTTGACGTGAAGATACAATTCTATAGTTACATTAGACTCATATATACCAATTATTTTCTTGCGATTTTAAATTATATATCAAACTTAATGCAACACTTGCATGATGCACGGTTCTTGGCTTTGAAGTGAGGGAATCGAGTGGATTTGGATAGGGACTTGGAAATAGATCAAGTTTTTAAATTGTGTGCT